GAGTTTGCTTGATGGAAATTATGATGAGAAAGGTCACGTATATATAGAAGGAGCGATTTGCGAATTTCCATTTTACATTGTATTGTTTTACATTATCGAATTTCCATTTTACGTTGTGTTGTTTACATTATCGAATTTCCATTTTACTTTTTCCGTTTGATGGTTTAGTTTCCTTTTTTATGGTTTTGGCAATAATATTTTACTATTTCGAATTTTACAAATATTTTGAGGAAACGTTAAACAATAGATGAAAAAAAAAAGTATAATGTTGAAATTGGAAATTTTCAAATGAAGTAATGGTTTTACATTAAAAACGACTTTTTGGGTCTGAAGAAAGTCAAACGATGGTCAAATACTCAAATGTCTATCACAAGTCAGCGAAATATGATTTGGGCCAAAATTGTGAAAAAGACGAAGTGAAAAGCCCACCCAAATCCAAAATTCGAGTGGGCTTGTAAATTGTGAAGAACTTCATTCTTAAAAATCTAGTCTTTTTCTTATTTCTTCTCCTCACTGTTTTCTTCCCTAACTATACTCATCTTCTCCTTTCTTAAATTACCGGAAACACCTCTCGCCGCCGGTAACCATCTTCGTAAACTCCGATACGACCTCACCGATGAACTAGGTTTCTTCGGGAAGATGATGATCGAAATATACTTTTACTAAATAGCAAATATTCTTATCCATTATTCATTAAAGTAAGCTAAGTACATAGACACTATTATACATATCATTGTTTTCCTTACAATCACTATTAGACAAACATTGATTGACGAAAAAGGAGCCAAACATTAATTTCATCAGGAAGAGACTTCTCTTAGTGTTGTTGCATTTGTCGTAAACAAAATGAATCAACATGTGAAGAACAAGCCCCTCTTCTTTTAGACAATATACTAAACCCTTTTAATTTTGTAATTAAGGACCTTTTTATAGTTTATATATTTTATTTTCTTTTTACTATATAGCTAGCGACCCTTCAAATTTCATATAAAGATAAGATCATGCATGTATGTTTGTCTCTTTACTTTCCTGCAAAATGTTCACAAAGAATGTAATTTAGGTTTTTTCCATTATGTAAAGAAATTACGAAAAGCATTAGATATTACGTAGTTTTTATGAAACATTTATTCATCTATTTATAAGTACCTTAACAGGTGCTCCTAAATCAGGATTGCTAGTAATAAAGCGACCCTGCACCAAATAGAATCATAGAGTAAAAGTAATAAACAGTGCAAAGGTATAATAATAAATAATTTTGGATATGAAAACGTTACCTTCCCACCAGTTTCCTCTTGATGCGCTTTTGGAATCGCCTTCCTCTCCACCTTTTTTGTACTGCATAAGTTAAAAATAAATATGAAAAGCAAAACCTTGAAAGTAGAGAATATAAGTTTTGTCATGTAGGTGTTATGTAAATGATATATGCGACTATGACTTACAGTAGTATCATGGGTGGTAGTCGTTGTGGAGGAATATTTCTCTTGGCCTCCATAGTAAAGTGATGAGCTCAAGTGGCATGGTGGTTCTGTTTCCTCAATATAGTAACTCTTTTTCTCCTTTTTGTTGCTTCTTTCCCCTCTTTCATCTACGTATAACGTATTAAGCCCACAAACGTATATAAGTTTCAATATGACAGAAAAGACTACGCTTGAACTGGTAGTTTAGAATTAGTGAAATTAACATTCAATAGACAATAGAAACACTAAGTTTTTTTATGCTAAAAAGAGCATACACTAGTTCTACCGTATCTTTAACGAAAAATAGCTCAAGAAAGTTTAATTACTTGGAGATTGATACTTCACATGTCCACCTTGACTTGTAAAGTCCACTTGCCTCCCCAACTGATCCTTTTAGTTGCACAACAAAGAGAAAGTTAGAGAGTAGTTCAACTTAATTGTAACATGCATATGTTTACAACGATTCACTATGTATCCCAAACATGTAATAATATTGAGATGACGTACTGCAGAGGATGGTGGGAAGATGGATTTGAACAATCCAGTGGCCGATGAAGAAGATGAAGAAGAGACTCTTGGACCAAATATATGATCGAAAGATGAAGAAGATGAGGTCGAAGATGAAGCAGAAACAATCTTCTTCTTCTTCTTGTTCTTGTCCATGCCAAAATTGTGTAGGTGGAAATGTATATGTTTAAACTTTTTGGTTTTGAAAGATGAATTAAAGAAAAGGGCCTAGGAGTGCCGAAAAGAGAAAGGATTTGGAGAGAGAGGTGAAGAAAGGAGAGAACATGTGATGAAACAAAAGAGAAGACACGTGAAGATATGCAGTTTTTTTATGGGACTCTTACAACTGTCATCTCTGCATATTTATAGTTGAAAACTTTGACTACATGTGATCGGTCTTTTATGTAGTGTATATTCTCTTTCTCATCACCAAATTTACTAAAAATTAATTAATATCTATATCTAATTCAATATATATACCCTTTTCTCTCAGTAGACAAGGCTCCAAATGTGTGACAACAACATTATTCACTTTTGGTTTCAACTTCCAACCAAAGACCAATTCTTAAATTTTAAAATAAGATCAATTAATCAAAGACTCGCAAGGAGTTAAGCAATACCCATATCGATTCAAAAATAAGATATATGCCCATATGGTTCATTTTCTGTCTTTTGTAAAGCCAAACTAATTTTATATATTTTTTCCTATATATGAAAAAGGAGAAAACTTTTCGAAATCGTTACGCGGTACGTACGCTACCAAAAGTGGTGATCGTATCAAATGAAGTAGAATCCTCGAAACCATTCTCGTGAGTGACCTAATTTCGTGCCCACACCAAAGTCAATGAAGATGTATGAGGCAAATAATATGCAAAATGCTTTCCAAAGTATTTGTAAATAACTTTCGTCGTTCTAGAACATTATAGTTCTGTAACTGTGTACTGTTTCCAAAGGAATCAGTATATATTCATTTATCTTAACAAAAAAAAAATGTTTTTTTTTGATAAAATTTTCATATTATAGTTTGTAGGACTAGTAATCAACCTTTTAGATTAGTTTAGATTTGGAGTTTAATAAGAATTAGAATTCAAATTAATAGCTTTTTATTGTATAGTTTTATTTTGTATGAATTGGGACAAATTTTTATAGAAGGCCTCTAGTATTAGTTGAAAAGCATAAGTGATTGGCAGAAAGATTTGAATAATAAATCAGGGTCTTTGATGAAAAGTAAAATAAACTTATAAAATGGTCAACAACGTTTCCTTTTTAGCTTATGAAGAACAAATCACAAAAGAAAAGCAAACAATAAAAATGACGTTTTAATATATAAACAAAAACGTTTCGATGAAAGTCTGAAAAGAATTAATTAGCAGATCGATATACCGCTACTGATGAATATTACATCACTACAATGTAACTGTTGTTATAAGCTTTACATGTGATTGGCGAATATAAGTATCTGAAGGACCAGAAGATCGATAAGGTCAAGATAGATTCTTTATAGTGATGTAATAATATTCATCAATAACAAAGGGGTTGACTCTATATGATGTCTTCGCAACTTGAAAGTTGTGATTCATATGAGGAAAAAAAAAACGAAACAAAAATACATTTGCAAGTTGTGGAATCAACGCGACACAACAAGAAAAGAATATCATTTGATAGATCGTTAATACATAAGGGTAATTAATTCTCAAAATATCAAAATATCGGAGAGAGAGAGAGAGAAGCATAGCCACAGATAAGAAATTAAGAAGATATGGCCAAACATATATTCTCTCTGCTCCGATTGTTGGAAACTTGGACCAATATACCATTTAGAATCACTTGTTCTTGATTGACTTTAGATTTGGGTATTATTGTAAGTTGTATTTTTATTAGTCATTTACTTCCACATAACCATATCTCTTCACGGATACACTATTCTTTTGATCAGTATTGGATTATACGTACTATAGTTTACAATACCAATCTCCTTTAATATTATCTAAAGTATTGCCATTTACAAATCTTAATTACATTCTTTTGAGAATCTGGCTGAGGAAGCTAACAGTAGAAGTAAGGGGCCGTAATTACATGATGGGCTTCGTTTAAATGGGCCAATATATGGTTAAAGCCTTTCTAGCCCATTAAATAAAGCCGTTGGTTTGATTTTGCAGGGGAAAGATGCACATGTTAGTGGAAGTGTTGCTCTGGCCTATGGACAATAAAGCGCCTGAAAATGTGATGCTGATCTCAGGAAACATTGATTTCTCTAATGATCTTCACCATTTAAGACTGAGAAACTACAATGATCTCTTAGCTCTTCCACCAAAACAAGGAGCTCTGAACCAATAGTTAGGGTTAGTGTCTGCTGCAACCAAAGTTTGTTATTGGAAAATTAACACCAAGATGAGTGATCCATACATGATAATATCAAATAGTTTGTGAAGACTTGTAGTTGTTGATGAAGATTCGGAGGTTGTTATTTATTCTTCGCCTTTATTATTAACTCTGTTGCAATTTAGGGATATTCCTCTAGCATCTGTTTTAAAAAGTCTTTTAATCCTTGCAAAAGGTTTCTCTATCTCTCCTCTTCCTACTTACAGTAATGATAAAAGTAGAGAACCACAATGTAAGCCAAAACCTGAGAGATCATAATAAAGAGATCTATTCAAAGTGAGCATGCCATGATCCATTTTCCATGTGATATAGAAATCAGTATTGCTATATTATAGTTACCTATTTCACACTACTACTCTCTGACACGAAAAGAGGGCCAAGAAGTTGGGACACTGCTTATAATTGCAACTACAGTCTCTGAACTTAGATATACTAATTAGAAAAACAAGCCTAAACTCAGCTCCTTAGATTCTCTCCTTTCCTTTCATGCACGAACCTATCCATCTTCTGTTACCAAACCAACTGCTGCCTGTCTTTCTTTCACGCCTCAACGGTTCCTGCATATCAATGTTGTTCACCAAATCTTTGTAAGCAAATCATGCGTGTTTGGTAACACTCAAGCCTGTGGAATATATGACTTTACGCTGAGGAGAAATCTCAACCATTTTTTTATAGGTGGAGTTACGCAAAACCGCAGAGGCAAAGTAATTACCACCAATCAGATAGAATCAATTCATGAGGAAAGGGAACAAGTAGGAGATGATGAGCTAAAGTCATATCACTCAGAAACCATGATAAACAATCTGATCATAACATATATACAATCTCAAACAACACTATATATGCAAAGATTCAGAGAAGGCTCTTTACCGGTTCATTTTGAAGTTGGTTGTTCTGTAGTATCTCCTCGGTTGGGCTTGGGGAGAGAACCACCGCCTGAAATCACACAAAACATGCTAAGGCATTACACAAAAAAAGTTCAGAAACCAAAATCAATATACATCAAAAGTCATATCACTCAGAAACAACAATAAACATATACATATATACAATCTCAAACACCAATATGGATTCAGAGAAGGCTCTTTACCGGATCATTTTGAATTTGGTTGTTCTGTTGCATTTCCTCGGTTGGGCTTGGGACGACAACCACCGCCTGAAATCACACAAAAACTAGCTAAGAACATTGAAACAAAATGTCATAAACCAAAGTCAATATACATGAAAAGCAATAACAATACCACCTCAGGACTAATTCCGTTGTTGGCATCTTCTTGGATCAAACTGGAAAACAAGAATTAAACAAAAACACACTAATCTTAGTCTACATAGATAGTGTATTGAACAAAAACAGATCACATAGGATCTGAAAAGAGCATTGTATACTTTTACCTTGTATTTGTATCAACTGAAAACAACTCTGGATGCAACCTCATTGCCATGTTCGTGTAAACCTCAGTAAGAAGCTACAATCAAATGCAACATAACATGAAATCTGTTTCTAGCAAAACAAAACCCAAAATCCCAGACTATAAAACCCTAATTCGAATTAACAATTTAGGCATAAATCGTACCGAAATTGGTCTTTGTAGAGTCTCAATCTCAGATATGGTCATCTTATTATCAAACAGAGTAGCGAAATAGAAAAACGAAGAGATCTTGCCCTTGGGAATAGCTTCTTTCCTTTGACGCAATAAGTCTTTCATAGCTTGTAACTGAAGCTCTATCGACTGAAATGTCGCAACGATCGCTAAAAGATCAGTGATACTGACATCTCCATCAACTGCAAAGAAAGCAAAAAATTCAGCGAGTGGGCAGAAATCGGAAAAACAACAACGCTTAGTGATCGATTCGACTTACTACTCAGAGTCAACTCGTTAAGCGAATCGTAGAGAGAAGACATCAAAGAGCTTAAGGAAGGCTTAGATCCATTTCCTTTCTTCTTCTTCTTCTCCATTTCTCTTCTTTCCCTCTCTTTTGCCGAATGCTAGGTTTTGATTATTCACCAAGTGTGTGTATTCACAAATGAGAAAATTAAGAAAAAAAAAAGAAGCCAATTTCTAATTTTCCCTCCTTTTTTTTTTACTTATTTATTTGTCTCGAAGTTTTCATTGATAAATTTGATCCACTTAAGCAGATCTTAAAATAATTTTGCATATTATGACAACCCAATATATACTTAATTTACTGGGCTTCTTAGTTGAAAGTCCAATAGCCACACACAGAAAATATTTAGACTAGGGTATATGTTGGGTCTCACTGTGAAGCGAGATCCCTCCAAAAATAGGCGTATACCACTTAGCGTGGAGAGCACACGGTATTCTTTAGTAAAAGGCGAAAGAATAGTTCGCTTTGTACTCACCACATGGCTGCGTGATTTTCCTCGAGCGAGAGTGAAGTCTATTTATACAACAGTTTCAACTACAAACTCTTTAAGCTTTCCGATGTGGGACACGTGAAATTCCTTGTTAAAAGGCTTTGTGGGATAATCAAGCCCATTACCATTCTCTTTTATATCATTTTCAAACATTTCGTGAAATTCCTTGTTAAAAGGCTTTGTGGGATAATCAAGCCCATTACCATTCTCTTTTATATCATTTTCAAACATTTCGCCATTAACTAGGACGGTACAATGTTACTTTTGTATAAGCTAAATCAATTGATACATTAACAAACAATACATAAAATTCTACATTTCGTATAAGCCATTTTTAAAGGATTGTAACAAATGTTAATCTCGTATAAGCTACATCCAACAACTACATATAATTCTACATTTCGTATACATTATCATTTTCCGCTGTTTGGTTTACAGTTTTTTTCCTCTCACCAAAAATAGACCTAAAAATCTACCAACATATTAAACCGTTATAGCTTTGAGGAAAGATCTTTGAAGTAAAGCTTGAGTGTCTCGTAGGTCATGAAGCAAATCCCAACACCAGGTACCACTTTGTAGTACTCTGGAAGAATTCCTCTGTACAAACCTCTTGCTCCTTCCGTCTGAACTATACGCTTTAGTGTGCCTAACAAACCTGTCTTGTACACTAACGCTCGCCCGCCTATTCCTTCTAGCTGCTTCCTTCTTCTCACCAGATCCAATGGAAACGTGGCTGCAGTTTTACAGTCAAACAATGAGTCTCATGGCAAACAAGAGAGAAAAAGGTCAATGAATAGCTAAGATAACTTACCTGTTGATGATGCTATTCCTGAAAGACTTCCACAAGCTAGACTGACCATGACAGGGGAATCATGGGGCCTTGAGAAAATGAAAACAAACAAATCATTTTAGGAGCAACTACAAATGATAGGTGACATGGTTGAATTGCAAAACTGTAATATCGAGATCGACTTCTTACCTAGTTGACCTCCAATAAGATCTCAATGATTCATACACAGAAAAGCTAATGGCAATACTAGGCCCAACACCCTGTATCAAAAAACAAAACCTTAGTCAGGATAGAAAGGAAAGTGGAACGATACAACATTTATGATGTATGCATCTTTCTGTGGAAAATACCACAAGCGTTGTTCCTAGTCCCTTGTAGAGGCCCAAGATACCTTCATCGGTTGTAATAGTGCGCAGAGTATGCCAGATACCTGTGTAGTAGATTACATTTGTCTGCCATTGATGCAAAGAATAAAGTCAATAGCCAGCTAATGCAACAGTGCGTCAATTATGAAATCTCCACAAGTAAAATAACAAAACAAGGTTTTCTAACAATGTTGATATCAAATACTTATGTTCAAAAACTCCAACCTGAGCAGCAAGACGAGTTCTAACAAGATCAAGCGGATAAGTGGCAGAAGCAGCTGTGATTCCAGCCAAACCACCGGCTACAAAATGTACAAAAACGTTTGAGCTTATACTCGCCTTGTGATTTTCCATCCCAGTAACCATATACATGAACTGTAAATAATCGAGTAAAAGAGTCCAAAATCAGAAATAGGCTCAGTGGTGAGTAAGGCCACACTATGAATCAAAAAAAAAACTTCTAGTTATAGACTCTCAGACCTTCTTGTAGTGTTCATATGCGTAGAAATTGACCGAAGAATATGGAAGCCGGTGAGCAATAGTAACTAGATTCCCTTTCCAAAAAGCCTTCAATCCTTCTTCATTCAATATCCGTGACGCCTCGTGTAATATGCTTGGCTTTCTTAGAGCTTCAGCATTTGTGTGCATACCTTGCACCTAAATACAACATAGTGTATATAATCAAGAAGCTGTACAAAAAAAACTCAGCTTTAATACAAAATTTCCCTTTTTAAGCATTCAAAGTTAGTGAACCTAAGAAGATTTGGGATAATATTCTCTATCTTCACACAGAGCTCAATTCAGCTTTTCATTTCTACAGATCTCCAAATTCTTTGATTATCCCATTACACAGTGAAATTGAAATTTTGAATTGGTCTTACTTTAATGAAACAACATCTTGAATTTTTCTCATTCTCGTTCGATGAAATGACAAACCTGGAAGAGAATGGTGAGACGAGAGAGAGGAGCAGTACAAGTCTTGCTAAAAGCACCGGCGAGTCCTCCGGCTAAGAGCTGAGACGCCGATTCGATATGTGATCTCTGGTCCTGCGTTAAACGATGAGAAGACGAAGCTACGCCATGCCCTGAGCTCACACCAACCCTAGCTTCCGTCTGCATCACCATTTTGCCGCCCAAAAATCCAAATCTTTCGATCTCTTCCCCTATCAAAATTCTCAATCTCACCTCCGAGAAGCTTATCCGAACAATACCCAAGCTCAGATTTCGGGAAAAAACGAAACTTTCAACGATCTTCGTTTTGGTTTTTGATTGAATTGCTTTGCTTTGCTTGAAAGTTTTGGTTTTGTCTCTCTTTTTGTGTGCCTCTCTCGTATATTTTTTTCTTTCTCTGCTTCAAGACTTTTGTACGCTTGGTTCCAACGCCACACCTACACGGCAACACTAAACACTTAAAACGACAGCGTTTTGATGCAACGAACGTTTTACCGCCACGTGATTCACCTCTTCTTTTTATTTCTTTCTCGTTGTTTCTTTTTTTTTGGTAAGATTCCTTTTCCATTGTTACAACTTACAACCACTCTTTAAAATCGGCGTCGTCGGTGGTACACATTTGAAAAACGTTGCAACTTTGTAAGATTTTGTTGGACCCTAGTTTTATTCAGCACGTGTTTTTTGTTAAATCATGTCGAAATATCTTTCTTTTCTTTTGTTACAGGCAGAGATTGGCCAAGAATACATGGCAGAAACATATTCATTTCTTGATTAATCTCAAGAGATCACCCACCAAATGTAATGAACCAGTTACCAATACCTAAACCCAAAATATAACAAAATCCCAATTAGACCACTTTGTTGTCACCTGAAACCAACATTATACGTAAAAAGTTAAACTGTATTTACCTGAAAACGAACTTGTTTACTTTGGCGAGCATTGTCCCGGAGCCAGTCAATGGCCAAAGGAAGTGACGAGAAAACAAAACTCTTATCTTCTCCGTTGCCTTTAGAGTCACTTCTTGAATTAGATTTTGTTTCACCTCTAGCCAAACTCTCCCAAAGCCTCTGAAGACCGAACTGCCACGACATCGACTCGACACGTGTGGCAACCTCTGACGAAGAACCCACTTGGTTGTACACTGATACGTTTGGTACAAAAATGGCTCTCTTGAAATCAACTCCTGAATTTGAAAACAAATCTCAAATGAGGTTTCTTGTAAAATCCTTATAAGCTCAGTTTTATATCATAACATAAACAGTTAAAACAAACCTTGATCAATGCATTTGCTTCTTAATCGCGGAAGAAGCAAACTCGGGTCACGAACAGACATACAATTGAACAAGAGTATCTGCATCATTAGCAACATTAGCAAAACTTTTTCAGATGTTTTTGAGATTTTTAAGACACAATTTTAAAAATCTTTACCTGCTCTGATCTTCTCTGGTTTCTTTCTTGGTTTTGTTTGATCTGTTTTGAAAACCATATAGCGCAAGCTTCCATGCTCTCGGGACTATGAGCTCCATCAAGGTAATACACAATCTCTTCAGGGAGTTCTGAATCAGGCACTACCATAGCTCGTCCCATCAAATAAGCATTCGACAATCCAGAGATGAATTTTTCGGGTAAACCGTTCTGTTTTCAAGTAAAAAACATAGTTACTTGTTATCAGAAATTCACAGTTCAAGAACATTTTTGATTCAACTTAGAACTTACTGTTTGATTCAGTCCATTCTTGTCCTCAATACCAATCTCTTTAAGAAATGTAGAACACAACGCAACAGCAAGACCAGCGTTTAGATATTGATGTTCGCCTTGAAGCCCGAGTCTCTGGCTTGAGTCCAATGCTTCCACCACCTGCAGATTCACCTTCACAACGAGTACTAATTAATAACCTTATATCATCTAAACCATCAATCTAATACTTTGGTTGTTTTGTGTAACCTTACCTCCAATTTTGAAGCTTTCTCATTAAGTACACGCATGGCTTCATCAGGTTGAGGCACTGTAAAAGCCAGAACTCCACTCTGCAACAGAGAGAACAATTAAGAATGAAACTGAAACTCGAATCACTTAGAAGCTTTTTGTCTTCACCTTGAAGATACCGGCTTTCTCTGCAGCAATTTCAGCAAGTGTGTATCCTAGATATGTAAAACCGAGTGATTAAAAAACACACTGGATCCCTTTGTATTGGAAAAACTGCGCAAAAGAGACTAACCAAGAATTTCCATATGGTCATACCCTAGAGAAGAAATACCACAGACGACAGGTTTTTGAATCTATATTAACAAATGCTTTGTTAGAGACAAAACCTGGTAAAGTAAATCTTAATCTGACAGAAAATAGTCGATTGTTCGTACCACATTAGTCGCATCAAACCTCCCACCTAAGCCAACTTCTAGTATAACAACATCAACCTGCACATACCATCAATGACATATATTTCTATAAATCACATGAGTTTAATTTTACTGAGTAGAAAAGAGGTTTCAAAACCTGTTCTGTTGCGAAAATCTTGAAAGCTAACAATGCAAGGAAGCAGAAGTAAGTAGGCATTGGAATCTCATTGCTGGTTTTCTCCTGCGCTTTAATGTGGAACCATATAGCGAAATGAGAGAGACAGAAAACCCAAAAAAGTATCTATATGAATGTTCTGTTTTTACTCCTCACCTTGAGCTTATGAAAGCAACACCAAAAGTAGTCCACAAATTTCTCCTGGCTTATCTCTATGCTGAAGGAAGCAATTCTGTTTTTGAACATTTTCTTCCATAAAATCGTTGTGATATGAGTGTATGTTTTCAGAAGCTCACCCGTTAAGACGGAATCTCTCTCGGACATCGATTAAGTGAGGAGATGTAAAGAGACCAGTTCGAAGACCGTAACAACGAAGAATAGATTCCGCAAATGTACATGTTGATCCCTTCAAAAAGATCGTATGAAGTTGAAATCTTCATTGTATAATCTCAAGGAACTATAGACATGATGAAGCTTTAAAGTCTGTACCTTTCCTTTAGTTCCAGCCACATGAATAATTTTCATTTGTGAGACTGCATCTTCAAGCTCAAGAACCTTAAGAGATTCATGAATCTTTAAAAAACCTCGTAACTTTTGGCATGACACAAAAAAAGCTTAAGTGATTTGAAACCTTGAGATAATGAAAGAGCAAACGGAATCGGTGAGATTGGTTGTTACTGGCAAAACGGCCGCGTTTAGTGATCAAAGACGACAATGCATCCAACGTGCTCTGGTAACGAGCTGACAAATCACCTTCGTCTTCTTCAACGTAAATAATGAACATACAAAGTGAGACAAAGCGGACATCCAAATAAACTTTACGAGAAGAAAAAAAACAGATTCTAAAGAAACAGAGAATTCACCAGTTGCCATAGAAGAAGAACAAATCCAAAAGTTTTAATTTTGGGACCTGTTTAGTCGTAGAGAAATGGGTTTAGGGATTGGAAATGAAAGGTCCTAACTTTCAGTTTAATCTTCAAACTATCTAAGCGAAAAAGGTGTTACCTTTATCTATCTACTCGCATAGAAATGCAGAATTCGGATATGTACCGAACAAAACCGTTGTCCATTCACCAATGGTTTCTTCTCCACTAATACATGAACCCAATGTGGACCCCAAATTAGAAGATATGTGTAGTTTTAACGAGAATTTTCTTACCAATTACTCAAAAAGATTCAAGAGACATCAACAGATTACTTTTAAACTGTTAAAACCACACAAAAATATAAGAAAACAGCTAATTCTTGCAAACAGTAGAGTATGAAAATCTCTGACATTGGGGATGTTGTTGTGTGTGTCATCCAAACAAACAAAATTTAAACATAGGTATCGATCAATGACTTCCTCATCTCATCGACGATAGAGCTGGGTTGGGCTTCCCTTAGCTTGAAGATGCTGTCTATAACAGAGAGCTCTGTCGCAGTTGTGTCTGAACCGCAGAAAGAGGTCCAATCATTAACGGTCATACCCGCAGCTATAACTTCACTACCACGGTTCACGGTTCCTGCAACGAGCGGGACTTGAAGAAGTGTTGAGAGTTCATCCAAGTCTTCCACTGATGTGTGAGGATGGACCTATTTGAGACAAGACATTCAAATTCTAGTGAGAGACCAATGCCAGTTTCATACGTTTTCGAAGGGATATTATGTTTTCTATTCTCTTACCATTCCACCTCTGTTTGATAGGGCACAGTAACTGCCCACGAGAATGTTGCCCGCAATTGTCTGACGGAAAACTTCAACGCCAAGAACATCCGCTATTATTTCCTCGGTTTCCTGTCAATGCAAAAAACCAACACAAGAACCAGAGACATCAAACCAAACGCCATATGTACAACTCTGTTATCATCACAAGATATATAATCAAAAGTAATATCATCCAAAACACACGCAGTAAAAGTAAGGAAGCATATGTATCTTTTTGCAACAAGAATCTGGTGACATAAGATTCATGGTGGTTACAAAGGGCTTAATTACATTATCTCTGCAAACTTTTGTATAAATGCCCACTTATCCTTTCACCATTTCTTGCCAGTCATGAAAAAGGGATATGTTTTTGAAAAGGTTTCAGTAGAAAAATTCAGCATGACAGGAATCTTTACCTTATCAAGATCGGTGTGGGCAAGAGCGACATGGTCATTGCAGGCAATGCAATTTCCAAGAGCAGACAGACGTTCATCAATTCGCTGGACCACAACTTGATCAGGTAGACTGTTCCTCAAGTGTTGAAGCTCTGTCAAAAGGAAAAAAAAAAACTCAGGAGATGCAAACAATTACAGACCTAAAACTATAATACAGATTTCTGATTAAAAAAAAAAAAGAACAGGAGACTCATAAAATTACAACATTACAAATTCATCAACAATGAAGGAGACAAAATTATCTCCACAAAAAGCATATTCAGTTATAAATAACTCCAACCATAAACTCAAATGAAACAGGGATGGGCAGTGCAGATGCTTCAGACAAGTTGAATAAAAAATACTCACCAAAAATTCTACTATCGCTATATAGTACAACTTGGTCATGCTGTTATCAGGCATTCAACTATCAATTTTTAATTGCTTTGAGAAACGATCTGGTGAAAGAAGTATAAAATTACCTTGGTCAGTAGTTGTATGAGGTACAAGAAGCCCATTCTTGTTTCCTATAACAAAAAACACAAAACCAGAGACATTACGGTATTGTGAAAAGAAAAAAAAAAGCAAGAAAATATAAAAGCTAATTGAGAAAGCGAACCAGCACAAAGACGCCCAATAATTCGTGTTCCTCCAATAGAGGTCTTAACAATAGGGATAACATCTGCCAACTCCGACTCAAAAGCACTACACAAAGCATTAAACTAAGACATCAAAAAACTGAAACTTTACAAGGTTTCCAAGAAAACAAATAAAAGGTACCTGTAAAAGTTCTCAGAGCCTCCTATAGCGACTAAGCAATAGGCATTAGTAAGTTTGGAAAAGACACCAACTTCACAGTTGTTCTCAAACTGAAGACCTGCGTATTACCCACAAATCCCATTAAAGCCAAATAGCCATAAGAGTAAACACAACAATAATTATAAATCAGCTCTGCAGAAAACTCACGAGTCGCCATTAGAGGGAGGAGGCTAGCGTACACCTGCGAAAATAGGAAACCATGAAAACGAAATTAGGGTTTATATACGGTTGCGTAACAATTAGGGTCTCCAAAAATCCTAAACACCTGTCTCTAAAACAGAAAGTTTCGATTTTTCGAGTATATTACAAGACGGGAACGGGAACAATTAGGGTTACAAAATCAATTTACTTTGAAGATGATGTTTGTATGGAATAACAAGGAAATAGGAGAAGCTTACTTGAGATGGGTGAATTCGAGAGAGAAGAAGCGGCGAAGAAGAAGAGATACGACAAATGGAAATCAAGGTTTTTATGAAGAAGAAAAGGGTTGCGCCGGCCCTGGATTATCTTAAGAAGCCACCGTTTGGGCCCTAATTTAATGGAGGCTCCAATTATTCAGAACATTAAATTAGATTTTAAATAAATAAATAAAGACAAATTATCTTGTTTGAAAGCCTTGGAGGAAAAGTAATGTTGAAAGTCAGACCACTTTTGAACAAAATATCTAGATTATATTAAAAAAAATTGTGAATTTAAATAATGAATTCAGTTTTTTGGTGAGAATGTAATTAGAGCATGTAAATGAGGAATGTAGAGATGTTTTTAGTGGCAATCAAAAGTCATCAAAGTTGGGTTTGAGATTATGATATTAATGGGATGGAAAAAAAAAAGGATTATGATATTAATGGTGTATATTGTGGATTGTTAAGAAAAAAGTAGGTTTTGGCTGGTAAAATTTAGTGTTTATAATCTTACTATTATTTGGGGGCACTTTGCTAAGCATAATTTAACAAAAATCTATAATGTGGTTATATTATATTTGTTATGTCTCTTACTTAAAGAATCTACAAATTAGTGGTATACAAAAAAAAATCTTGAAAATTAGATTCAGCCCATTATTGGAAAGGAAAGAGGGAAGCTAAGCCCATTATTGCACTTCCATAAATAAGAAATGCCGATTGGAATATAAAAGTAGACAAGCCCACATCTTGCATTTCTATTCGAATATTTAGAACTTCACCAATACTTCTCAAGAACATGTGCATATCAAATATATAAGGCCATGCGCAGTGGGGCAAGCGTTCGGGTGTTAGTCGTCGGGTGTAGGTATTAAAAAAAGAAAAAAATTATCTCTCTCTTCACACTCGGGTGTAAGTTTACACTCGGGTGTAAGACACTCTCTCTCTCTCTTTTCTCTTTCACTTTAAATTATAATAATAAAAAAAATCTTACACCCCCCTCACACTTACACCACTGCGGATGCTCTAATGCGCAATGTCTCTCCATTCAATTATCGTCGAATACTTTTTCTAATGTAGCACGAATGGTTGGGTTAGTCACGTATATAAACAACATTTCCCATAATTGGTTCTTTTGAGACTAATTAATTTCGGATGATAAAAAAAAAAGGTTGGGTTAGTCAATCTTTATTTTTATTTTTAATAAAGGGTCCTATTTTCTTCTATAGTAGTTTATTTGTCTTAAGTTAAATCTCGTTTTGATTGTCACTCAAAACATTTTTCCCGAAGACTAAATTAACTTTAATGTATTAACTGAATTTCTCTTCTTTTTCCTGTCGGTCTATAGCTCAGTATGTCTACATTAACTTTTATTTCTTGTCGACATGTCTCTATTAACTTTTAATCGATGAATTTATTTTTAGTAGCACAGTGATAATGATTCTTTGGATTATCTTCTTCTATATGCGTCGTCTTGTCACCACGTAAATTAAAAAACAACAAAAGAGAAGACTTATTATGTCAAGAGTTTTAATTTTAACCTACCTTTTAGAACAATCAAACGTTTTTCTTATAGAATCGTTCCAGCCAGTCATATGATATCTATTAAAAAACAATTTTATAATAAAACATATAAATTTGTGCATATATACCAAGCATGCAGTTCTAGTAATTCTTCATATATCAAGTGAAACCAATGGTTTAAATAGTGAAATGCGTTGATTATTCAGTGATTCACACTTCAAAATAATTTACATATTAGAACATTATTGAGAGGGTAAATGGTAATATTTTGTTACCGTTGTTGTCAAGTTTTTCAAAACTCTCGTGAAAAAGATGCAAGGAAAATATCTAAACGGCTACGAGGTTTTCCGGTTGGTGAAGAAAACTGCAGAAAAGGAAAAAGAAATGAGTCTAACTTCTTGTTTGCTTGTATTATAGTCTCTGAACGTGACGGCACCAGACTTTTCCATTTCTGGATGCTCGTCGTGAGGCGTACGTGGTGACCTCTTTTTCTTTAAGATATCTTTTTTTTTTGTTTTGAAAAAGGATTTACTCTAAAAATACATTATTTTGACGATTTAAATCAAATAGCACCAATCAAAATTTGTCTTTAATCACTGAGTATTATCTTTCTAAAAAAAAATGGAGGCCATTATTGATTCCAGAAAACGCTATAGAGTTAATTCCATTATACGGAAATTAGTAGCTGCGTTGGAAACACTATCCTACCAAATCCAAATGGCTCGTGTTGCATATTGGCTGAACTCTTATGATAGTGTAGTGCACATTCCTAAGTCAACCTACACAAAAGATATTATTCCTTTTTTCCTTTCTTTCTTTCTTTTGCTAAAAAAAGAAACGAAAAAAAGATGAGATATTTCATATTTTGTGTGCATGGGTGATGGGTTCACAAAGTATGTTATCTTTCTTTGAAATATTCCTTATGTTAAAATAGAAAGGAGAATGTGCGGCATATATTGATCAGACATCCAAAACTAATTTAGATCCATTGGTTTCGATTAACTATTTGAATCTGTGTCTATGCTAGACTCGTAAAGTAATTAAAACCATAAC